CTTAGCCATAGTGAACCACTGACCACCCTGCAGTCTGCGGCCATATGGCCATTCATAGAGTAAATTGCACAAACCATCTACTTTTGATGCTACTTTTGACAGAATATCTATTTTACAGGTTTGTTGCAGAAAACATCACATATTGAGATAATTCGTTGCAGCTAGGTCCAATCCGTCATTTGGATGTGTTGACATGATTTCTGACAAGTGGGTCCAGTTTATAAGTGCACCGCGGCAAAAAAAATATTCCACATCAGCATCCAACTAGAACTGTCAATATCTCACATTTCTTTGCTTCAAGTGAGCCGAATTTTCCCTAATAATTATTAGTGAGTGCATGTATGATTTATTGGCTTTTTTACATTTTTTGGAAATGTTAAATTTAAACAAAAAAATTGAACGAGTCAACTAACATTGCAAAATCTCACAAATGTTGGTCCAAATGAGCTGCCTTTTTCCCAAAATAGTATTGGATACGTGTGATTTACAGGATTGTTGTGCATATTTATTTTTTGAAATTTTTGAATTTTATGTAAAAGAACGTATGAGCCAATGTAAACTGTGAATATCTCATTATAATGTGATCCAAAGCAGTTAAAACCTTCCAGATTCATTACTGCTTACATCTAGCTTAGCAAGCCACAACTTTTATGTGAAAAACATAAGATTGCTATACAAATCTAAAACGACTCATAAATAGGCACAACATTCATAAAATAAAATCAATAGCACCAATATGACAGATATTGTCGCTGTCGGGCTTTAGTATCCAAGTGGTTGCCATAAAGCCATTATTGACATCATCAAGTCGATCTCACGCACCAAAATATTACCGTCATAAGGTTTTAGCATCCAAGTAGTTGTCATGTGACCATTACAGGTATCATCAAGTCGTGCACGCCAAAAGATTACGCCATTTTAGGTTTTAACATCCAAATACTGGGCAGTTTTGCAATGTTAGTTGGCTCGTTCAATTTTTTTTTCAAAATTAATATTTTCAAAAGACGCAAAAATAAATAAATCATGTGTGCACTCACTAATATTCTAGAAAAAAATCAGCTCAATTGGAGCAAATAATTTTGAGATTGACAATTCTAGTTGGCTGCTGATGTGGCTGTTTTTTTTTACCGATGCACTTACAAACTAGACCCACTTGTCAGGAACCATGTAACACACCTAAATGATGGATTAGACCTAGCTGCAATGAATTATCAAAAATGTGGTGTTTTACGCAATAAATCTGTAAAATGAGTGTTCTGTGCAAAATTAGCACCAAAGTAGATGGTTTGTGCAATTTCCTCCTATTTATACTGCACTTCCAGCACCACAATTTGGTCGCTTTTTTGGCCGTGGCCTAGCACCGACGTCATATTGATATTTTGTTTTTGGCAAATATCCGGGATCTTTTGGACTGAAAATGCCAAGCATGAAACCAACGGCTCTAAAGGATGTGTTTGGTTCAAAAACGAAGTGGAATGGAATGTCATGGTTTCATTCCATGGGAATGGGTCGGTTTCGTTTCTATGTTTGAACCGCCCTGGCCCACCACTATATAAGGGCATCTCCAAAGGTACCCATAAACCTCCCGTGACCGTCTGGACCGCGGAAACCATCCAACGCCGACCTGTATCAGTCTGCGGAGTGGTCTGGACGCGATTTCTTCCACAAACTGGAGACAAATATGGAGAGGTTTGTGAGAGTTTGGACCGATCCCAAGCCCGTTTTCTGACCGCCCTGACCCACCAAAACCCATCACCCTCCCATGCGCGCTCTCGGCCGGCGCCGGCTGCCCGCATTCATGACGTTGTAGAGCGCACCGCTCAACATTGAAGACAGTTCAGGGCGGATGTGACCTCTCACTGTCTTCGCCATTGAAGCGGCGCACCGGCCAAGGGCGCCGCCCGCGACGTGTCTTCGGTGTCCGTGCCTATTCAATGTCGGAGACACAATGACTGGACGGAGCGGGACGGATATCTACCATGCATGTTTAGTGTCGGTGTCCGTCCGTCTGCCGTCATTAAGCAGGCTCGCCGACCGAGAAACCCACTCCGGCGTCGCACATTGACGCACCCGGACGCCTGGCCTCATCGAAATCCGCTATATAAAGGCGGCCGCACCCGGCTAACTCCACACCACAACACCAACCCCTCCACATCCTCCTCCCTTACACCGCATCTATCATGACCGCCAGTGGGAAAACGTTGTGGGGCAGTTTGTCGCTGGAGATGAAGCACGCGGTGGCCGCCCTTGCCGCCGCCTGGCATAGCAGCTGTGCCAGGCAGATTGAGGTCGACTTGCCAGCCAGCTCGCCCGAGCTCTCTGACGACGAGGACGACACCACGATGGAGACAGGCTCCGACGACTCCGCCCTAGCTTTGGCGCCTCATGTGCACGTCGGCTTCACCATGGAGAAGGCGCAGGCGCACTTGAACGCCGCCATGCTGGAGGTGCAACCTATGACATCGCCTTTGTCGGTGTTCCAGTAGGCGCAGGAGAAACAACGGTTGTACCGCTATTCTTCCTGGAGCAACACCGGCTGGCGGAAGGCCAGATCTACGACGAGCACGTCAGCGAGGAGGCCATGATGGCCATGGCCGTGGCGAACCCAAATTTCGTCACGAAGCAACATGCCATCTACGATGGCGTCCGCGCTCAAGCCGTCGCTCGGCAGGAAGCGGCAGCCGCGAAGGCGCAGCTGCAGGCGATCGCGAAGAACATAGCCAGCTGCGCCTCCTACACGCCGCCGACGAACCATCAGCCAGCCCGATGGGACGACGACAGCCAAGGCGCCACCATTTCCCTCACGTCCACCGGCGACGGACAAGGCGCAGACTTCTCCAAGGATGAGTAGGCCACAGGAGGCGGCGGGGCATGGTATCCCATGTGGGCCGATCCATCTCCCGTGTTCTACTCTTTCCCGCCAGAGACCGCACCCTCACTTCATCGGTCTTATCGCCGGTGCTCATGAAAACGGCGAAAGGAGGACGACACAGGCTTGAACGTCGGGCGCCGCCGTAGGATAGGTTTAGGGCAATTCTTTTTTCTTTGTTCTAAATGTTCAAAATGTAATTAAATCCGCCGTTTGTATGAAATCCATCATGTTTGTACAAAATTTGCCCGTGTTTGTATGAATTTCATCCAGTTTGTTGAAAATTAGTTTGAAATGTATGTGTCTAGCATTGGATGGCTGCCTCCCGCATCCATGTCGGCGGACTGGTTCCCCCCTGTCTACGTACGGATGCGGGACATTTTTTGCGGGTTGACATTGGAGATGCCAAAGTACTCGCAAAGAAATCATTATATAAGCACAATAAATGGCATGAAACTGACGGCTCTAAGCACAACAAATAAATAGGTACTAGAAGGGTTGGGCGTGCTTTGCTGCGTCGTTGGTGATGTTGAGATTCTTACGAAAAATACACATTTTATTTTAAACTATAAGGTGTATTATTTTTTTGAAAAGTAAAACCTCTGTAAGTGTGATCAAATTTATAAAGAAATATATCAAAATTCGTAATATCAAATTGGTGTTATTAGATTCATCATGAAATGAACTTCCATTTTTTGGCATAATATTGAGGATGTCGACATTTTTGGCTCTAAACTTGGTCAAAGTTAAAGAAATTTGACATTTCCAAAGAACTAATATCCCTTATATTTTGGAACTCATGGAATATTTAGTTTGGCGGATGGCAGAGACGATGGAGTGTGTTTTATGTTTATTTATAATGTAGTTATTTTGGTGGACTTTTCATGGTGTGATTTTGTGTTATGCGCTAATCAACTCATACTTTTGTAGGTAAATTTCTACAGTGGTGGCTACATGTACTATAACGATGCTATAGTATCATCACATGATGGTGCTTCTTTTCTCTAGGTGGTAAGAAGGTGCACGGGGTTGATATTTTTTTTAGCCAGTTGGTGTTTGTTGATTTGAAAAATCATTGGCATAATCAAAATCGTAAACCAAATTCAAATTTGAATATCTCAAACGAATAAACGAATAAAATGGCTTCAAAATTAGGGAGTATGATGAATTAAAATAATTAAATAAGAGATCCTTGAAAAATTATTGACCCATGACCTAGTTCCAATTAGAAGACCTCAATTAATTGTGAGGACTTAAAAATTACTACCTCTCTCTTAGTTTATAGGGCGTACGTGTGCTCTTAGGTCGTTAATTTGACCAACCTAATACAAGTCATATATTACAAAAAATATACCAATATAAACTTCAGATGTTCTATTTTCAAACCGTATAATTTTTGTGTTATATAGTTTATATGAAGGTGATAAAATTGGCAACCTAGGTATACGCGTAGGACTTGTAAACTGAAACGGAGATAGTAGGAAGCATAGTGCATAGTATAAAAGAATTGAATGAGAGCTTTGAGAAATTGTTGACTTGGTCAAAATAGGGTGATCTAATTCCAATTGGATACCTCAATTGATTGTGAGGCTTTTACCTCTAGATAGCTTAGTAATATAGTAGATGTTCCTCTCATCAAGTTTTTTCTTTCTTTCCCAATTCCGCGTGCACTCGTGGTTCTCTCCCCTATCTTCGGTCTCCGCCTCATGAGATCCATCCTTGCTTCGTCATGGTTCCTGATTTGGTGTATCCAGTGATGAAAAAGATGTAAGTTTCCTGTTGCCAGGTCCAACAAGAGAAAAATTGGACAGATGTTTCAAAGATTCCAAAAAGTCATCGGTCACTTCTGATTTGGAAAATTTCCACGATCTTTCAGACTGAAAACGAATAGCATGAAACCGATGGTTCTAAGCAACTTGCCTCGTTTGGAAAATTTCCACGATCTTTCAGACTGAAAACGAATAGCATGAAACCGACGGCTGTAAGCAACTTGCCTCGAATCACTATCTAAATACCCTACAACAAGAGGAAATGAAAAAGAAAAAAATAACACTATATAAGCACAACAAGCTTCTAGCAAGTCTGCAAACCAGCCTTTGTTTGCGTCCCCCTTTGTTTGCGTCCTCTAAACATGTCGATCCTCGTAGTCATGCAGTTTTTCATGGTTGCCTCCCTTTGCCTCCCGTGTTCGGCCAACACCATGCATGCAGCCACCTTGTCCGCTGCTGAAATTTCCACAACAAGCGCCACTGACCACCAAGCGCTCATGTCATTGAGATCTATGATCAAAGAAGATCCGTTCCAAGCACTGAATTCATGGGAAAACCAGTCAATCCCTATGTGCCAATGGCGCGGAGTGGCCTGTGGCACGCGCGGCCACCCCCGTGGCCGTGTCGTAGCACTGGATCTTCATGGGCTCAACCTTCTTGGCACCATTTCCTCTTCCATAGGTAATCTAACTTACCTCAGGCATTTTGGCCTCCAAGAGAACCGCTTTTATGGTACCATACCAACAGAGGTTGGGCATCTTGTACAACTCAAGTATCTGAACGTCAGCAGGAACTCCATCGGCAGGGAGATCCCGCCGACACTGGCCACTTGTGTTCAGCTTCGAGTTATTGATTTGAGGCACAACATGCATAAAGGCTCAGTGCCTCAGGAGTTGGCATCCCTGGATAATCTTGAGGTACTGGCTCTTGGGTACAACAACCTTACAGGAAGTATTCCTGTGGAAATTGGAAACCTGAAAGCCCTGAAGTATCTTCATCTGAGAGCAAACCTGCTAGTAGGAGAAATACCAGTGGAGGTTGGAAATCTTAGAAACTTGACCGATTTATATCTTAATTTCAATGGTCTGTCAGGTTCTGTTCCTGCATCTCTTGGAGGCCTCCAGAAATTGCAGATTCTGTATCTATCGGGAAACCAGCTCTCAGGGCTGATTCCACCTTCCCTAGGAAACCTCTCATCTCTACTAGTTCTAGATGTCCAAAAAAATGGCCTAACTGGAAGCATCCCTGAATCGTTAGGAAATCTGAATCTCCTCAACGTCCTTTCTCTCACATCTAATAGTTTTACAGGCTCAATCCCTCACACTCTTGGAAAACTAAGTTCTCTCGTTGAGTTTTATCTGAATGGGAATCAACTCGAGGGTTCTATACCACCTTCTGTCTATAATCTTTCATCCCTCCAATATTTTGTCGTGGAAGTCAACAACCTCAGTGGATCTGTTTCAGATGACTTGGGTAATAAGTTTCCACAACTCAAGCAACTTAGCATAGGCCATAATCAATTTCATGGGTCCATCCCAGAGTCTTTGTGCAATGCTTCAATGCTTGAAATCGTTCAATTGGGTCACACCTTTCTTTCCGGCGTAATACCAAAATGTCTTGGAGCTATGAAGAGCTTATTGGTATTGTTTCTCCAATCTGGTCAGCTAGAGGCAAGGAATGACGCTGATTGGGACTTCATTTCTAGCCTGACAAATTGTAGTATGCTGCAGTACCTAGATCTAGGCAATAACAAACTAGAAGGGGTGCTACCAAATTCAATAGCAAATCTTTCCACAAACTTAATAATTCTCGGCTTGGCAAACAACATGCTACAGGGAAATATACCTGAAGGAATTGGAAACCTTGTCAACTTGCAATACTTGCACTTGGAAGATAATTTGCTACATGGAAAAATTCCTGAGTCGATTGGCAACCTTGCAATCCTGGGTGAACTATACTTGTCAAACAACAGTTTATCTGGACCAATTCCACCAAAACTTGGAAATCTCACAGCATTAAACAGACTCGTCCTCGCCCAAAATGTGCTTACTGGCCCCATACCATCCAGCCTTAGAAGCTGTCCATTGGAGACACTAAGCCTACAATTCAATAAGCTTGTTGGTCCTATACCAAAAGAGATTTTCCTCATATCCTGGGTGAACTATACTAGTTAACTGGGACGTTTTCTCCAGACGTTGGTAATCTAGTGAGTCTTGGATATCTGGATTTGTCTGGCAACAGGATATCTGGCTTAATTCCTGCTTCTCTAGCTCAGTTTGGAAGTTTGCAGTATCTCAGTATGGAAGGAAACCTACTTCAGGGAACAATTCCAGCATCAATGTCACAGATGAAAGGCCTTCTAGTTCTTGATGTTTCAAGAAACAACTTGTCCGGGGACATCCCAGTCTTCCTCGCGGACATGCATGGGCTCGTTACCCTGAACATGCCATTCAACAATTTTGAGGGTGAAGTTCCAAAACGTGGATTATTTCTGAATGCAAGTGCAGCTCTCATTGAAGGGAACTATGGCTTATGTGGAGGTATACCACAATTCAACTCGCATACCTGCTCAAATCATACACCCAAGAAGTGGTCTCACAAGCTTGTCATGTTGATCTCAGTAGGCAGCGCAGTTTTTTGCATCATCTTAGTACTATTTGCACTATTTGCACGACGGAAATTGAGAACCAAATTTACAAAGACAAGACAGGTTCCATCACTCCATAGTGGACAGCATATGAGGGTTACCTATGCTGAATTAGTGAGAGCGACAAGTGGTTTTGCTTCTGAGAGCCTCGTAGGCAGAGGAAGCTTCGGCTCTGTGTACAAAGGAACAATGATGAATGGAGATCAGGAAGTGATTGTCGCTGTGAAGGTGCTCAACCTCCAGCAGCGAGGGGCATCTCAAAGCTTTGTTGCTGAATGTGAGACTTTAAGATGCATCAGACATCGAAACCTTGTGAAGATATTGACTGTCTGCTCAAGTATTGATTTCAGGGGTCTAGACTTCAAAGCTCTCATATTTGAGTTCATGCCAAATGGAAATCTTGATCAAAAGCTACACAGCCGTCTCCTGGAAGATGGGAGGCATGGGGTGCTCAGTCTCACCCAAAGGATAGACATTGCCATTGATGTAGCTTCAGCACTCGAATACCTTCACCACAATAAGCCAGTGCCAATAGTTCATTGTGATCTTAAGCCAAGCAATATTCTCCTCGATAATGACAAGGTTGCCCATGTGGGTGACTTTGGACTTGCAAGGTTCTTGCACCAGGATGATACTAGCCTCCCAGAGATATCAAGTGGCTGGGCTACAAGAATGGGAACAATTGGATATGCTGCCCCAGGTTTGCCATTAACCACTGATGTTCATCTTTTATGTACCAATTTCTCATTCGAAACTAATTTCACATACATTTCTTTTCCAGAGTACGGTCAAGGAAATGAAGCCTCGGTCTATGGTGATACCTATAGCTACGGAATACTGTTGTTAGAGTTGCTCACTGGTAAAAGGCCAACTGATGGTGAGTTTCTGCAAGATCTAAACTTACATAGCTACGTCGAGATAGCACTTAGAGACCAAGCCACCAACCTGGTCGATCTGTGCTTATTATCTTCACTGGAGGAAGGGACAAAAATGCGAGCTGCATGCATCAATTCAGTTCTGCACATTGGGATATTATGTTCGAAGGAACTGCCAACTGATCGCATGCAGATTGGGGATGCTACGAGAGAGCTACTGGCGATCAGAGATAAGTATCGCATGCACCTATTGAGTAAAGGTGGGTCCATCTAAATGCTTGATGGCGCTCGCTTCATTGTGATCAGTATTCATCATAGTACATCAAAACAGAAGGTGGTGCAAGCTTTGTTGCTGCAATTCACTAGCCAACTAATATGCATGCCTTCTGAATGGAATTTCAACATGATATGGTAATGGTTTGTGAAGGATGGGAGCCGCACAATGCAATGTATCTAAGTCATCGGGCCACCAAAAATTCTAGTTAGAACTTATAGTGTAATTGGGATCTTCTTTATGTTAATATATTTATTATCGAGAAAAACACATCATGTTTTCTCCGTTCCTATCTTGAGGCAAATTTTTGGTAGTTACTGGAGAAGTAAGAATATTGTGTTATCATTGAAGGGAGACTTGAAATTTGTTTTGAAATTTTGATGTTGTAGCTGGATTTTAAGTATCAGAAATTCTAGTTTCAGAACACCCAATGTGTTGTATCACTAGGCAGACGCTCCGACCTCGCCGCATCACACACACTTCTATTATATATTGACAAAAGAAAGTATATACCGACAACGCTTGTAATGATCATCAACTAATTGGAGATTTATACCTTAAAAAAAGCTTGGAGATTTATGCATGAGTTTACAACGCACATTGTGCACTACGTGCTCGAGTGGATGAGGAGACTGGTGCAGAATATGCGTGTTGTATTCTGGGATTTGGTTGACTCTTGACTAATTTTTTTTTCTGTTATCTAAAGTGGTTGTAGGGTGAACTAAGCATAACTTAGAATCTGTTGTAGGATCATTCAAAACAGTATGCTAGTACCTTAGGAAAGAGATAATAATTTGACATAAAGATTTAGGGACAAACGAATGAAACAATTCAGAGTAGTATATTAACAAAGCTAGTTGAGGCACTTTATATTTATTGGTAAGCCTCCTTAATTGTCAATATATCATGTACTGAACCACCCAAGAGCAACAAAAGGATTTCGATCTAGAGTTAAGAATAAACATTTGGTTTGGCCGGCATATAGTAAGCATAAAAGGCTAAGCATTTAAGCATGTTTTAGCAACACTACAAGTTCTACACATCGTATTAGTACACTTTAAACAAGACAGTACTCAGTTAAGCGTGTTCCTTGAAAACAACTGTAGCAATCTTGTCCTACTGAACAGATAGGTTTACACCCAAAACATCTACTTAAAAGTAGAAACATTCTAAAAATAGCCATTACTTAATAGGATCATGCAGCTAAGTGCATGGTTACACAAGAACATGGAGGAAATATGATCACGTGTGCCGATTACAAAGGTCTAACTGGCCAACTACAGAACATGAATAGATACCCAAAAAAACAGAAAGCAGATAAAATAATATATTCTATATTAGAAATTTTCACTAACCTCAAGTGAGTGATGATTGAATCCAAACTGGCGGTGACCAGTTCAATCTTGAATTTGAACTAGGGGGCGATAACTCGATGAAACTACCATCTTCCATATTAAAAATAACAACCTGCCTAAGACTAAATCTGTGACAGTAGATATAATCAAGCAAGTCATCCGTGTGGTAGATGCTATTGGGAACCAATGCAGGAAAGTCTTTCACTGGGAGAAGGAACGAGTTGTTGAAACCAATGAACTTTGCATGATCTTGGAGGTTATTTGTTTCGATTATCTTTTGTCCAACAAAATCAATCTTGTACACAAAAAATTTGTCGGCAACCCCTTCTGTTCTCCCATTCTCCTTATTATATTTATCATGTCTCCATATCTGGAAAAAATCTCCCCATGGTGCTTGAACAATATATCTACTATGTGCTTGGTAAGATATGATTGACTTTAAAATGACTTTTACTTCAGCAGAAGTTCCATTAAGATATGATCTTGGATGTTATTTGTTTCAACGAGCTTTTGTTTAACAAAATCAATCTTGTACACGAAAAACTTGTCTGCAACCCGCTCCTTTCTTCCATTCTCCTCATTGTATTTATCATGCCTCCATATCTGGAAAAAATCTCACCATGGTGCTTGAACAATATATCTACTATGCGCTTGATAAGATATGATCGGATTTAAAATAACTTTCACTTCAACAGAAGGTCCATTAAGATTAATAGAATCAATCTCACCCCTAACACAAACACCATAAAATAAACCATCATTGTTGTTATAAAGTATATCTTGATAAGCCCTACAATTTGGATTTGCATCAATCCAAGTCCATTTGGTGTCCCCAATCCTAGTATAAGAGAGTTGATCCTTTGGCAATTGTACTCGGAGAACTGTGCAGTTTCCATGCAGGGGATCACAAGAAAGAACAACCCTCACATAGAAGTAGAAGCGGGCTTCTTCAAGTGTAAGATGGTACGGCTCCATTTCAGTGTCAAAATCACGAGAGAACAAATCCAAGTACAGAACATCATATCCATCTAGCACGCCTTCTTCAGCGTAGCGCAGTCTAACATTGTTCATGGTTTCAGGTGGGGGCATAGCTATCTCAGCTCCGGTTGCAGGGTTGAGTAGTATGAGATTCGAACCCTCATCCGCAGTGATGAGTCAGCCATAGGAGGAGCCCATGACGTGGCGTGTGCGGAAGGCAGGCTCCGGTAGAGTGACGTGGTAAAGCTTGTTGGTAGACATGTTATGCAGAGTGACCGTGTCAGCATCACGGTCGCCAGATGAGTAAACGAGGCAGGGACTCTGTTTCGACGAGCACAGCCGGAGACGACGGGCCTCCAGATAAATGAGGCGCCAGGATCAACAGACGGCACCTGAGCTGAAGAGATCTGGGATCTCGAGAGTGCCAAAGATCCGGAGGAGCATGTCGGCCTGAAGCTGGGACCAATCACAATCGGTGCTCCAATCTGGTGAATCATCGGGAACAGAAGCTTTTTCCATCGATTTTTGCAGAACCCACAATTGTGTGTTTATGATATAGGGACAAGGGTAGCTCCGAAGCCAACTGGAAGGTGGAATCAGTCTGCAAAAGGACTTTCAGAAATACTGTGCACTAGGACCTTCAGAAGGATGCTGGTTACCCAGAGAAATATTGCACACCTGCACTCATAACCTAGGAATCATCCCAGAAAGCTAATCAGAAGAAACAACTGGACGGAGAGGAATGAATCGGGCGCTCGCGTCTAGCTTCGAGCAAAACCCTAGGGCCCCTGGAATTCGAACGCAGAAGGGTCGAGGCCGAACTGCGTAGCAGG